GCGAGCTGTTCTCTTGGAGCCTCTGGTGGCAGTCACCAAAGAAGAACACTGGGAGAGCCACGAGGGCAAAGTCGAATAACTCGCGGGCAACGTCTATTTACAACCTATCGGCCTCTACATGAACAAGTTTTTGTTCTTCGGAAAGTATAATTTTAGATCTCCTTGCATGCACACACACACACACACGCACATAGACACCTATACGCACATACAACACACTTTGGATGGATTCGAAAAGGGAGTACTTGCTTCTTTGAGTCGCGCTCATCTTGCGTCTCAGCGCAACGAAGGCATAACATAGGTACATATCCGACCGGTTTATGCTAATGTCCATACGAGTATTTCATTTGCGGCGTCACATCGCTTTGCTTGTCTCGGGTGGTTCGTGTGTTTACAGCTTTCTACGCTGTGGTGCCTACATTAAAGCCGCAACAATTGAAAAAAGATGATTTTCCGGGCGTGCCACAATTTTTCACTTAATTTCATCCCAAGTCATGATAATGAATGGGATTTGTTAAGATGATTGTCAAGTCTGTGAGCAAATATGGTCTAATCACTACCTGTCACTAGTTTCTTCATCTCAGAACCACCTGGAATTTGCATTCTGGAATACATTCTTGATACGCTTTATCCTGCGGTTATTTTTCAAGAAATTATGCTAACGGGCAATATCATTTAATCAAATCAAATTATAGGTACATTTAGATACATGTACAATTGGAATGCAGTCTGTGGCATTGCAAACATCAACACCTACTCAGCATGCTCGTGGTCCGGTAGAAATGTTGATAGTAATATTTAAAGATATCAGTGGCGCGCGTTGCATGATCAAGTTTTTAGGCCCACACTGTGTGCATCTGACTGTTTACACCTAATTTACGATCGTCTTCGTTTCTTTGAACTTGTCCAATTATGTTTACATGCTTTTGGGCATTTTCTAATAACTCAAGTCTACGCCTGCTGCTTGTAGCAACATATTTATTTCCTTTGCCCGGAGATAAATGTCTATGTGTGTTTTTAATTTTAATTTTAATTCTAATTTGCTAAACTGTCCCGTCCTATGCGTGTTGAGCAAGTTTACGCCACACGGCATCAGTTGATGAAAGCTCCCGTGTGTTGTGAAGTTGTTTATGATTTGTGTAATTTTTTTTTACGCGCGTCAATTGGTGTTTAATTTAAATACGACGTGTTGTGTCTGTACGTAGTACACGTTTAGCAACGTTTAATATTTTTTTACGCGCCGCGAGTCGAACGAACTGAAATAAACTGGCAGTTATTTGGCTATTATTTGATTGATTACTCTTAATTAAGTGTGCTACTTGACGAGCGCTGTTCACGTCAAGATCATTATATTATGAATCGCGATTTTTGAACTCGGAAATTATCGTTTATATCTCACAGTGTTATTTCATCATTAAGTCATCTTTCTTCTTCATTGCACAGAATTTATTTACGTATTAATCGATATTTTAATAATGTGCATAATCAATGTGTTTTATCGAGTCGAATATTAGTGAGACATGAGACATTCCATGACGTGCGATGATGCATTAACATTAACATGGATGAACGTATTAGGGCACGTGGCTTGTGATTAGCTTGACTGGGAGGCGTATGCGTTTAGGAAACTAGGCTTATACAAATGCAGTGCATAATTTAATACATTTTTGGCTTGGCTAAGCACTTGACAAGAGGTTAAGTCTCTATTAAGATGCTTTAGAAAAATTATTTGACTTGGTGGCACCTGTAGATAATCCAAATCTAATTTAATTCAAAGGGTAATAAAACTACAGGTGGTGTCAGTTAAAAGACAAAAAAATGTCTTGGGTGCCCTAAACACCCGCTGCGGATAACAATAATAATCATAGCATCTTTAAGAATTAATAGACGCCAAAGTGGTGTGGAAATTGGCTGCGAAAGCAGGAAGTAGTAAAGAGAAGAAAGGGATTTGAGCCGGCATGAGAGCGATGGCTAGACGTGCGTGTCTTGTATGCTGTTTAATATTATTAGATTACTATAAAATTACTATATCTGTACGTAGAATATAATATGTGAATTGTGTATGGGTGTGTGTACACGTATCTATATAATATGATAATGTAATTCGAAAATTGTAAAACTGGAATGACGGTGGGAGATGATTACCTTTGATAATTGTTAATTTCCCATCTTGTCTCACATGTGTGTGCGAAGATAGAGATATAAAACCATATTTGTTGTATATACTGGCGCGAGTTTAACTACTTCTCACAGGTTCCTTGCGCGTTGTGTGTGCATTTTCTTCGTTTCGCCGCATCTTGTTTGGCGCGCGATGTGCAGCAATGTACACAGAGCATTATGTAATTACGTTATTATGCATTTTTACAAATATCAAACTATAAACTAATACGAAAAGTACAATATAATGCCCGTAAAGCAATTTGGTTTTTGTGGCCGGCTTGGCCAGGGTCCGATATATATCGAGTTCAACGTACTGTAAAATGTGCTTTTTATGTTAACTTCTGGTTGTGTTTCCTTCTACTGTCTATATATCTGGTAGATATGCGCAAATGGAAGAGTGTGTTAACACTTGTTTATGTGCTGTTCACTTTGCTCTGGTCATCGGCGCGAAGGAGCATCTTCTTATATTCATGTCGTAATACGTTATATTTGAATTATTAATTGATGCCATTTTCAATTAATTCGAAATTTATTTTTACAATTGGCATCACAAGGACAAGGAAGCAAGATCTAGTTCATTGCACATTCGATATTAACAATTATTACACTTGACCGAAAGTAACTGTTTCCTTGCTGGATGTGTATTTGTGTGTTTATGAATGTACCAATATAGAATAGATTTTTTCGATTGCTGATCTGCTACTCGGCCGTCATGTTAAAGTGCTCGTGTGTTTCATCAGCTTTGGTTTCTTTGACTGTTGGCTTGGCAAAAGACTCATAAGTATAATGACGGGTCGTATAACCGTATATTTTCGAGCATATTGCCACTCTCTGCTGGCTGTAACCGAAAAAACCACCACCACTAACTATACTGAGTAAAAATGTAATGTGCAGACGACACACACACTCGCGCGCAGAAATATATGCATTAGAATCCGGACCATACGCAAAGGTTCAGAATTACGGAGAAACTTAACGATTTGAGACGGCCAGTCGAGGACGTTCGAGGACTTCTTGTCCGTAATATCACCTTGCGAAGGTCGCCACAACGGACACGACGCGCACTCGTACGGTTCGTTCATCCGTTTCATTTGTATTTCTCGCGTAGATATCTCGAAATCTGAGACGCCATAAAAAGCGCAATTATGGTTCATCATCTTTGCGACTTGATGAGCGCAAACAATTATCATGTGATCGATTTTTCGCCCTGAATAATTCATATTTTCATATTTTGTCAGTGATGCCTTAAAAGCTTATTTAACACTTGCTAATTTAATTCACCGCATTGATTTGCATTGTGCAATCGTTAACATCTTTATTTTTATGAGCACTTATCCGGACTGCATGAGCTAAATATAGAATATTGATAATTGTGGTGTAATTGTCCGAGTGCGAGTAGTAGTTCGACGAGCGCACGAAGAATGCATGGCGCAGCAGATGCAAATTTCGTCCTGTACGCTCGTTTAGATCGCTGATTTGAATCAGATGCATCTGTATCACTTACGCTTACCAACATAAACACACTGTTCAGTTTACGGCCTGCATAAATATTCAATGTGGGGACAGAAATAGACGTCACGTAGTCATGAACCCAAGGGGTTTTGGAGTTGAGTTAGAAATTGTGTAATAGGATAATGGTTGTTCAAAATGAATATGAAATAAGAAATGGTTTGATAATATTACTTTTGTGGATTTGATTCGCAAAGTGTAGATGAGTCTCGGGATGTTGCGAAGTGGCGATCTATTGATCCGTTAGATCTCGTTGAGGATGAGGCGAGTAATTATCAAGCATTCCATTCGGGCGCTGCGGCTGGCGCCGACTGACCTCCGCTACGGGCGTCATTAGCCAAGTCAATTTGCCATGAGCAATTCCCTCATACATGCCACTCATCCGCACATCGTATCGTATCGTATCGTATCGATGGATAAGTAGCTAAAACGTCTGTCCAAAGCAGCGCGCCGCCTGTATACTATCCTTTTCTGCCGCAGCCAGGATCTATTTTTATATTATATAATTATATTATATGGGCCTGACATTGCGCCGCGGCGATCACGACGAGACAATAAAACCAAGGCGACACTTTCGGAGAGATCATAAACGCGGATGAGAAGTACGCATTGATGTCTGGGACCATCTCGACGGATGTTGATGTTGCGTGTGTGCACCACTGATTTTTTCTTCATGCGCCCGCGTGCAGATAGCGGATCGACACATACTCACCTCCACGAGATGCGCAAATTGTCTCTCGCTTGTTGGTGTTGGCGGGTTTTTTTCGGTTTTGTTTTACTACATTTTGCTGGATCTGTGGGCAATGATCAGAGCAACCCTTGCGCGATGGCTGCTTCCATCGAGCTGTGGGCCTGTGTCGACTTCTACTACATAACCGCGTGTGACCCCATGCAAGGCTGTTTCAAGGCCGAACGTTGGCCGATCTAGCGAACGCGAGCGCACCAACACGCGAGGCCGTTTCTTCACTTTGCTCTCATTACTACACATTGCGGAGACCCGCGTCAACCTCTTGTATGTATGTATGTATGCATGGTCGCTTTGCGCAGTTATGCTTAACTTTTAAGTTATTCCAGTTGAGTTGAGTTACTTAAGGCAGCTATGCATCGCTAGAAGTATCTTCTGCCTGCTTATCTCGTCGTTCTTCAATTGACTCAACTTTGGGCGATTTCTTCTGCTTGCGCACGCAACAATGCCCTCCGTTCCGAATCGTCGCGTCCGGCATCTGCAGGGTCATTGTCACTATACGATTTTTCACACATTTAATGAAATCAACACTTTTTTTGGAGCCTAAATACTTTTACTAGATGCATTCTTTTTCTTCTTCTTACAGATCCAGAATTACAGCCTGGATTGCGTTCGGAGTTACAAGAACGCGCCCTAATCGTCTCACTGGAAATGTTCAGTCTGATCCTAGAAAAATGTGTTTCCATCCTCACTGAACATTTGGCCACGGCAACTCCAGCAAATATAAACATTTTACCGCAAGACGCCGAAGAATTACTACCGTCTGTGAAGATTTGGTGCGATTGGATGCTGTGTCACAGCAGAATCTGGAATCCGCCGCCCTCAACCCTCGACTACAAAGTCGGGTAAGTCGATTATATTCCCGTGTGTGCACCCGCACCCTTTGTCCTACCAGCGGAGCGAATCTATCCATACACGATCGATATTTCGTGGCGGCGGCTGCCGAGGACATTAATCACTTTACGCCTGCCGTGGCTGCAATTTCTCGTTAACTCTCATTACTTAATGGTCTTTGTGCGTTCGCGCATATTATCATCATCTGGCAAGCGTATTTAATGCGTGCGTAATGTGTTTGCAGGCCTGCGGGGGACGCGTGGACACGGGTCGCCATCCTGATGAATCTGCTGGAGAATCTGGATCCGTCCATCATGCGCAAATTTAAAGAAGAGGCTATTGACGGTAAGTAATTTGTCTCGCACTTAAGTGGACATATTGGCTGGCTTCAAGCTCGGAGATCATCAATCGTGAAAATAATTTGCGCGAATGTATTAATCTCTTTACTGTCATTTTTCGTAACTGCTACGGGCAACAATGCGAAACAATTAAATTGATATTGGTGTTAATTTTTCGCATAATATGTGGATATTTTGATATTTTGATGCGGTGTTTGTTGTTGTTCTTTAAAGATGTAAAAGTAGCAGTGTCCCGTTAGAATCATTTTTATCGAAATTAGTATTTCTAGCGCGTACGTGCGTGAATTTGTGATGTAATCGAGTGTGCTTTCAATAGAGCGGACTGCAATCGCCCGTAAGCTATCAAACAATTTTGATTTCCACACATTACTACATCGCGTTTTTCTCTACATAATAATCAACACTTAGCCGTAAATAGACGGATAGATTTATCAAAAATAAAACACCGTTTGAAAGCAGATGCCATTGCTTCGAAACTTGTGCCTCATTTGAGGTTGACCGATGGCGATACTCGATGCCAAAATTGCGCAGATGTTTTTCTTGTCTGTGTGGTGTGCTTGCGTCGTGCAGGCGGCATAATGGAAAATTGCAGTTGTGTTTGGTATCGATGTGGGCCAGTAAGGCACACCATCGGACGGACAGATGTGAACATTGATCGAGCGAGTGAGCCGGGGAGTACCATTACGGGAGATGCGAAAATTATGGGAAAATTAATTATCTTCCCAGCTAGGAGCGAATCGGCGGCTCTCTGAGTAAATTATATGGGTAGGAATGATTGAACCGAACACAACACACACCGTGCGCGTGCATTGTGTGAACGTGCTGCGCTCCCTTCGATATAATTTCACATCGGTGCGCGATTTGTGACGTGTGCGCTTTTGCGCGCTGAGATAGATGCACACACGTCCGGATCGGTTTCGAGTTTGTGGTGTAATTTTACTTAATTACACTGCCGCTGCCACCCCACGTACACGCTACACATGCTGCACGTTTAGATTTTACCCGAAGGACACAACAAAACGGACGTGCGAAATTCCACGTGCAATGATATTCTTATTCATTTGTTTGTATTTTTGTGCTTGTTGTTTCTATGCAGGTTACGAGCTGGTGCGACTACCCGAGGACAACACCTTAAGTGGATTTACACCACTTTTATGCAACGTGATTCCTTCAACCATATATGTCCCTCCTGATACGGACATTGAATCAGCGCAGTTTGCCTTACGGCTGCATAGGTTGCTCTTTTTTGGCACCGAGTTTTTGTGCGGGGTTGAACCACCCGTACTTAAACTTGAGTACAGGAACGACACACGTGGATATGTTAGCGTCGTCTGTACCACTGCAAATCGAAGTGCACCTAATACACCACCAGAATTTGTAAGTTTATCATTATTTTGTTTTTAACTGTTTTTTAAATGCGTTTTTAAATTTTTTATTGCAGAATGAGAGCGAATTGATGGTAGAGAGCTTTAGTGATGAAGAGGACTGTAATTCAGAGAGTGTCGTCCTGGAGAATACATCAAATGAAATACAGGAGCTGCTAAGTAGAAAAAATGAATTGGAAAGGCGACAACGCGTTCAGGAGCTGCATCGACAAACGGTCCAGGTGAGTAGTGCACATGCTTTACCACTTCCTGAATAACATGAACCATTGTACATTTTCTTATCATATTGCATCTAAATATTTGTTTCTGGTACAATGTTAATATTTATTCATTGCAATGCATTTAGAAGTCATGATGTCATGGTTATTAAACTTTTTTAATACGTTTAATCGTTTAGTAGCCATCAAACGATTGTGCTGTACGTTCGGCATTGATTTTTTATTTCATCTCTTGAGTCTGCATTCTGTATTCGGGCGTAGTACGTTTTACGACTTACGGAAGCTAGCACTTGTAATGCGATTATCTAACAGTAATAAATATGAATGTGAAGAGGATTCAATCGATTCCAGATCGTGTCTGGAAGCCCATTGCTCGAGTGGCAATCCGCAAACGTAGATTACTTCCACGTATTTTCGAAACCTTGCATTAGGACACACAGAGTGAGTTCAAGTGCAATAACATCCGTCGCACCAATTTAATTTCGATTAGGAAAATCACGCAAAGAAATACTAAAAGATTTAGCAAGGATGTTATTTATGTCTGCGCGATGCGTCGTCGCATCATTTCGGGCTGTCATTGCGGAAATGCATGCATAAATTCAAACTCGTAAACTTGTCTGTCGGCGGGTCATAGCGCAGACGTCATAAAAGTCTCTGCGTCTTTTGGAAACGTCTTGCACGCGTCGTTTGTTGTGTGCGTCGTTGGTATCGCGCAAAAAGAGTCATCGCAAAGCTGGCGGTGGAATTGGTGTAATGTGCAATGTCGTATAACGAATCATAAAATGTAATTATAACTCAAAACTGTTTGAAATATGGAAATGCCGTCGACAGTGACAACGTTTTTAAACGCCTTATTACTTGTTTTACAGGCCCAGCTGCGTGAAGTAAACGCAAGACGTAAACGTAAAGTCAAGCGAAGAAGTCAGGAAGTTCTCAAGAAAAGAACATTATAGCAATAATTTGTTAAATAGCTTGACAATATTTTATACGGATAGTTTCTTACTAATTCGGATAACGATGTGATGATTATTAAATAAGGAATAAAATCTTGCAGTATTCGTGATTTGCATACGATTGGCCCACATTCATAACACTAATAAATTTAGACATAATCGCTAAACGATTCGGACACGATCTGCGAGTGTATAAATTTGCATCCAATTTACGAAATGTGTTACACATCGTACAATGTTTACGTAGGCGTCAAAGCTTATGCAAATGATTATCTGGTTAATAACCCAACTACCTGTTCGATGAAAGCATGACAAATGAATGTTGACTTTTATGATTTTTCTGAGTCAAGGTTAAAATGATTTTTTCCGTTTTTGATTTGCGCGTGAATAATATTAACCGATGTGTAGACGAGTGTAGACAGTGCTCAGTAGTCGGCGGCGTTTTGTCATTCGTGTGCGATTGTTCGCGTAACCGAATTCCGGTCAGCCATGGGGCAGTGGACTGGACGTACGGACGCTGGGCAACGAACGGTAGCGTGGGAACGCGTGGGTGCGCCCACGCACTCGGCGTGTGTAGCTACATCTTGCTGGGTGTCACTGTTTTATGCGCACATAGATTTGATTAGACGGGCGCGTGGTATGTGCAAAGCGCAGCAACAAATTGTCTGAGCGCGCGCGCGCGCGCGCAAAATAAAAAAGATTGCCGGCGATGCGTTGGAATTGTGCCAATTGCTTTGCCTGCCTTCTTGCTTGCTTGCTAGGCAAGTGCCTGCGCTGCCTATTTATAATGCATCCATCATTCGCACGAATGCGGCGAAACAATGCTGTCTTCCGCTGGCGACGCGAATTACGCGAACCTGCGTATGTGTTGCAATTCGTTTAATTGACTGCACAATCGCTACTGCAATTTTCCCTCGGGAATTGCTACTTGCTGTTCGTTTTATTACACCTCGCAGACGATTTTTATTCAAAATGCATTAATAGTAAATTAAAAAATGTTTATTTTTGCAGAAAATTTTACAACAGAGCGTCGTGAGTGTGCATATTGAGGTAAAACCCAAGAATCTCGTGCCCGACACGAACTGCTTCATTGATTATCTTCCTTCGTTGAAGACTATTGCGTCAAGTAATGTTTACACGTTGATGGTACCATTAATAGGTAAGATTTTATCAAATTCGCAGTAAAAAAATCATCAAAAAATTCAGTCCAGTAGTAAAATAATTTCATTTATTATTCATGCAGTGCTCAATGAGTTAGAAGGGCTTGCAAAAGGTGCGAAAACACCTGAACGTGTCATGAATCCAGCACACGCCCTGAAAGTAGCCGAGGCGTCGAAGGCTGCGTTAGATTACCTCGCCACACGCTCGGCGGGTGTGAAATGTATAACAACAAAGGGCACAATTCTCGCGTCGACCGCTTTCACCAAAGAGGACGATGCGATCGTAGATGTCAACGCCACGAACGACGATCGCATCTTACAGGCGTGCATGACTTTATGCAAGGGCCAAAGCGAACAGGCCGCAGGTAGAGAATATCTCTTAGCAACCAACGACGCGATATACCTTCAGATGTTTAATATGTATTTGTGTTTTAATTTTGAATGAAGGCGAGCCACGAAAAATTCATCGTGAAGTGGTTCTGCTCACGGAAGATCGGAACCTGCGGGTGAAAGCGCTGGCAAGGGATGTTCCCGTACGAGAGGTGCCCAGTTTTCTCCAGTGGGCTGGTCTGGGTTGAAAATGACCCTCGTGGACGATTCAACTTGACCGCTACACTTGCCAGACAGCACGTCAAATTGCAAACTATTGATGAGTTTGTGAATTTAATCTTTCATCATCGGGTAAGTTTAAAAAAAATCCAGAAAACATGATTTTTTGATGGAATCCTTAACAGGTTATCATGAATTGTGGCGTTACCTTCAACTTACGATCCTGATATGTTTGCTGATTCATCAACATGCACCAAACTATTATTCAAACGCATTGTGCCATTATTATGAAAACTATTTTAATCTATTATACATATTGTTAGGTTTTTTTCTCATTTTTCTTATTTTTTGTTCTTTTTGACAATTGACGATTTATCTATGACGGGATTTTGCACAGAGTATTTTTATTGACTTTAATTATACCCATGCATTCTGCGTGTGAGACTTGGACATTATTAGATGTAATAAACGTGAGGCGATTTTCATTGTTTCTAAGCGCGGTGCGTAAATTATGCACCTGATTGTGATTAATCGTTAATGAAAAACATATTTTAAACAAATGCGTTTATTTTTAAAACTTGTATGTTAGTTACTGCTATGTACTTATACATTTACACGATGTGAATACAAGATAATATTGTTTAGTTTTTCAACAAAAAAGGTAAAAAAGGACCCAAGTTCGGTCTTATTTTTATTATTCTGTTTACCGGTTAATTTTTTAAGTATTTACTGCTAAGTTTAGTTGACTAAATATTAAATAACACAATTGTGACTTTGACTGTTAACTTTTTGAATGTTCGATGCTTTCGACTATACAAATATTGACGACAAGTATTTCTGCTCAATAAAATGAAAATAAAGATTACAGGTTTATTCAAGCATGTGAAATTAATCATATTTCTGAAACTAGGTAATTTGAACTGTGTGTGTGTATTCTGTTTTAGCGTAATATTAATCGCAAAATTCCGTTTTCCCTATTGATTAGTTGTGGGTCAGAGGATTGCGTGAGAACGCTTGAACTTTGCTTGAATTGGATGTCGCACATGCAACGTAAGACTCGCGGAGAGGTGAAGAATAATGGGTTTAGTTCAAGTTGACCGACTCCTTGCATAGCCCAACAGATTAGAATAGATTTATTGAATTTTACGATTTAAATGTGCCTTTCCTTTAATACTTCCGTTACGTCGTGCATCACGCTTACGTCATCGATGCGGTGGTTGTAATAATTTGGTAATATTAACTATTTCCATTGATAACCATCGATGAAGACGAAGAACAGATGCTCATTGGCATGCGAATAAAATTCCTAGTATACTAATAAACTTATGCTGATTTTCATTGACGACGAGCGCTGGTGTGCGCGCACGAGATGAAAATGCAGTAATCGTAGGCCGCAATAGTATGCCACATGCAGAAACTCAAAGCACCGAGCGCAAGAAGTGGAATATTGCATTTCAATTTACGACGACTCTTTGTTTACCTGCCTTTATGATGTTTACCCAGTAACTTCTCACCTATTAATAATGCGCTAACAGTAATTTTACTATTATGGTATTATTAGACGTCGGAATGAAAGGTGTCGTTGACTGTGACCAGCCCGAGTCGGTCGACCTGCAGACCACATGCATACCTTCGGTGTTTCCTACATGACTCTACAAGTGCTATTTGCATCAAGTGTTTTGTAACGATTGGAATTGAAAATTACCATCAGCATCTCAACCATGATTTTTTAGATTTTTATTATAATTACAAAATTTCAATTAAAATCATTGATGTGATTTAAAAAATTTATGATTTTTTCCATTTTTTGCTGGATATGTAGTAGAAAGAGCTTTGTGCAGCTTAGGTCGAGCACACATTGTAGCACGGCGACCGGTTGTTGCACTGTCACTCTTTTGTTTCATATCGCTAGACTTTTGAGCAAACACACGCGGGCGAACAAACATTTGCTCCCGTGTAATAATTACCTTGGGAATATGGCAAGATTGAAAACGGCTGTACAGATGCACACATGCAAGCGTTGGCCGGTTGGTCGTTTGCTGCAAAAACGGGGATGATGGCCGATTGCAGTTTTGCTTGCATGTTTACAAAGTAACACTTGCTTGGCAAAATTTGCACCGCTAGCAATCTACTTGCTTTTTTTATCATGTTTGCAAATGTGCAAAATTTTATTTATATAACCAAAGTTTGGTAAAGGATAAACAGGTTTTATTGCTATTGGTAGGGGTGAAACGATGAAATTACCTCATTAAACATGTCCCATTACGCTTTTAGCAATTAATTTTAATATTTATGAGGAGCCGCTTTGTATATACACTTGTAACATACGCCATCGCTTTTTTCTTTCGATTTTATAACATTTTTGTGTTTTTATACCAACGTTGAGACGCTGTGCGAGATTTCGTCTTCTTCGCCGCACAAAATTTACAACATATTTATTCAGATGTGTGCATTGAATACTGATGCGCGCGCGGTCAGAAAAGCACTCCATTAAAATTCGCGCACGCATTATTTATAGGCTGATTAATTAAGGGAACGTGTTTGAAGGAAAACTTCACGGCTTTTATTATGGCAATGCGTCACCTTGGGCTATAAGAATATTTGCGAACTTGTTAGGAATTTTTACCCAACGCACATAAATTATTTGTTTGACACATTCTTTGACTATCTGAGTGCATCATCAACGACGCAACAAAATACTCTCGCACTAGCCATTTTTCCGAATTAAAATTTTAAACGGTTTGTTATACGCGCAGCTTTTTGCACATTAATTAAATTAAACGCTCGAGTAGAAAAAGCGCGCCGGTGAACAATAGAGCATCTCGTGTGTCCTTGCCGGCCATAATATGCCCGCTCGATGGTCGATGGACAATAAGGAATTATAAATGTAACTGTGACTACTCGTTTATAAATTAAATTTGTACACAGATACTTTTTCTTCGGCGTGCTCCATTATGCCATGTCGAGCGCTATTCTTATAGACACTTTGAATTGTTTTGTTCGTCATTCTAGCATCTTCTTTCCAGGCAGTGACAACACGAAGCCTTTAAAGACGGCATCTCGTGCCTGCGCAATCGACAAAAACACTCAATACAATTAAAGCGTGACGCCGACTTCATCTGAAGCTGTAACGCATCGCAGAGTGAAAAGAAACTTATTTTCACCAAGGTGTTCATTGGAAATCAAATTTCTCAACTTGAAATTAAATATTATAAGATTATGTATACACTTAAGTAATATTTAAATTATTATGATTGCGTATTCACTTATTCGGTCGATCAATTATCGAAACTTATTTAACATGTGTGGAAATCCCGTGAAATTAAAACATGTGGCATTCGTAGTTTTGTCGGTTAATTAGTTGACCGTTGTGCATTGATTGGTAGCTAGTGTCGCATATTTAATTAATGTGAAATATATGGACGTTTATCATTGTTCCGTTCGATTATTATTATACATCTGCGCGTGTTAGTATAATTTATTTACAGTTTTTATTAATTTAATGTTATTGATGCGATTATTTTTTTTATTCATTTTTATAAAACTGCTGAAACTACTTGTTGAGTGTGTTGCAAAATAACGGTGGTTTAAAAGAGAAACATAACCTGAAAATCAATCAGTTCTACTGAAACACTTGAGGTGGTATAAATTGTGATTTGTTACTGCCACTGAATTCTCGAGTATTTGAATAATTGACAGGTTTAATTAATTACTTGTAAGCATTGCAACATTAGCATGCACACACGTTTCACCAAGTGAAAAACGGTAGAAATTGTATTTAACATTTTACCGATATTTTATGCGAAATTTATTGTTGTTCTTTGGCTGTTTTAAATTTTATGCCCGTGTTTAAGAGGAAGTTAACTGTAAAGTAATACCTTTTCATTCATAAAACACAATAATGGGCAATAGACGCTGACGTGAATCGTACGGCACGATATCGCCGGACAAACCAAGACGCTGGAACAAAAGCTGCGTGACAAAGCAGTGCCGAGTGACAAAAATCAACTTAACGCTGAATTTGCATACGCAATCATCAGGAAACGCGTAAACGTATATATTGCAAAACGTTTGATTTCGTTCAACATATTACTGTACTCATGAACATTAGTGTTGGCATTATCGAGTTTTCTTTGATGTTCTTCCGATGACAAATGGAAGAAATTGATAATCTTTTAGAAGAGTACCTATAATTTTTAACAATTGTGATAAAGAATTAATGAATTTCATTGTAGTGACACTGCGTTAGCGTTAGTTAAATACAACTTTAAAGTTTGCGCGAAGATGGCGTTAAAATACACATTTTTGCACCGAATTATTCGATGCGATTTGTTTATATCAGAGACTGGTCCGGCGACACTATTGTACCTGTGCATTGATTATTTGTTATCAAAATCACGCCACATCGTGTTTTTATCAAGAATTTCATGCAACAAGTCAAAACATGTTCAACATTTTTATAGCGAATACAAGTTACAAGTTAGTTATATTTACTATATCTCGTGGTGATTGAATGTGCGTTCTAACAATATTTTCATACAATACTTTTAAAATATGAAAAATCAAATTGGTGCCTGTTCTTCCCGACTACAGTGGGTCCTCGTCCATCCAAAGGATCGGAGATTTTTAAGGTAGGATTTTTTTTATTGAAATTTCAATTATTTTTGTACTTATGTTAAGCATGCTGAATGCTTCAAGTGAAAAAGAAACTACATCAGGTAAATTTATCTATAGTTCAAGGCTTCGTGTAATCTCAGGTCACGGCAATTCGAGTATGCACACAAGGCCGCATCGCATGCGCCGATTAAACAAAGAAACTTGCGTTCCGAAATTGCGGAAAACGAATCTTTACGTTATTTACATGTGTTGTCACATGGCACATTAATTGAAGGTGAGGCACACCGATATTAATTTAATATTCAATTATTAATGTAATTTACGATTATTTAGATAGCTATTATTTTTGCTTTGATTCAGCTTGACTTAGGCTCATCGTCCATTTAATTACTTTTAATTGATAGTGCGTCTACACAGAGTTGAGCACAAGATGGCCGCCCGATGGCCATAAAAGCTCATTATCAGTCTTATAAACTTTATGAGCGTAATTGTTTCTTGCGTGAATGCGTAATGCATATAATGCATCTTCTGCATTCGGAAAGCTTTACCTAATTATATGCAGTATGAAAGCAGCAAGGCGGAAAATTTGCGACGTGAAAAAATCTTTCAGGAGTAAAGAAATAAATATTATATTATTGGCTATGGACTTCAGAAATTATTTAATTTAATTTTTTCTAATCTTTATTCTTAGGTCAGAAAATGTGCACAGAATTCTGGCCTGAACGTTAGGTATAATTCATGCTTTATAAGACCAGGCTATCTACAGGTCTGCAACGGTCTGTGGGACATGTTTATACTCTTCGCGAATATTACTGTAAATTAAAATCTTGATTTGCAAACACGCTCGTTCTCATTCTCAGTTGTTGTGATCTTGTTTTCGTCGTCCACCTATTTATTTACAGACGGAAACATGTAGGTACGTCAACAAAAATTAAAGAAATAGTGTCACAATTCCTTTTAAAGTACCTGAAACTGTTGCCCGAGTACTTTTTAATCATAATAGAATTTAGATTTATACTTAGTTTACTTTATTGTTGCATGCTCATTTAATATCTATCTTCTCCCCGCATTACGGACGACCACGACGACGACGACGTCGTCGACGGTCACAAGAACAGCAGACACCGTTATGTGGCGGACTCCTCTTTCTTCTTCTCTTCTCTATTAAAATTAACTAAATCTTATCAGACATGTTTTACTAGACAGGCCGTTTCGCTTTAACACGACGAACACGCGGCCTGCGCCAAGCGTTTGCACTTCT